TGGCTGTCCCCCGCCACGGGACAGTCCCAAGGAGCATGGGGGTCTCAGCGGTGGCAGGTGACAGAACAAGGAGCAATGGGTTCAAGCTGCAGCAAAGGAAACATAGGTTGGATCTTAGGAAAAAAATGTCTCACTAGGAGGTGGTGAAGCACTGGGGCAGGTTACTCAGAGCTTGGGGAATCTCCATCCTTGGAAGCTTTAAAGACAAATGGCTGGGGTCCTGGTTTGAGCAGGGGGTTGAAGTCCGTACCTCCTGAGGTCCCTTCCAACCCTCATTTTCTATGATCCTATGTGCCTGCCCTGGAATCTGCTGCCACAGCCATGGGCAAGTGCCAAGGATGGGATGGATGGCTGGTTCCCTGCTGGGCTGGGGGAAGGCTATGAGGCAGCCATGGATGAGGGGAGCCATAAGGAAGGGCTGAGGGATCAGGTAGTGCCTCCCCCCTGCTACCACTGCTGCCACCTTGGCAGTGTTGTGGCCTGAGATATGGGAAGTGCTGAAGTAGTTTTTGGAAGTACATTGAAATTCTGGGATGGAAAGGGTAATAGAAATGCGAAGTATTTTTGTTTCCTTCTAATTTTGTCCCAGATTCAGATTTTTTGACTGTCATAGAAAGAACTGAGTCTTGATCGCTTTGTCCATATCAGAAGTTTAGAGATGCGTGGTGGCATAAAGGGGACCACAATTAAAGGCAGAGCAACAGGACTGTAGGAGGTAATATTACAGTTTTCTGACATTAACTGCCATACAATTGATGATGTTTTCAGGGAAATCATTTCATATTTAGGGTTAAAAGCTTTGTTTCTCTTATGGATAAGGAGTTCATCATTAGACTGAACAAACTAAACATTGCTAATCATTCCTGTAACTCTATTTTGGAAGTCTCAGAAAACTGCCTTGCATTAAGCACATCTAAGAGAAGGTTAAAGTTTGACTTGATCAGTCTACAAAAAACTATGGGGAGAAAAAGACCTCTGATAGCAGAGGGCTTTTAACAAGGCAGAGGCATAACAGGATACAGGAGTTGGTTGCTGAGGCTATGCAAATTCAGATTTCAAAGTAGAGCACACATTTTTAACTGTACAGGTAACTGCCCATTAAAACAATCTGCCTCCACATGTAGTAGCTTGTCTGTCTTCTGGAGTTTTAAATAAAGACTGAGTGCTCTTCTAAAAGAGATGCTATGGTTTAGCCACGAATTCTTGGTTTTGATACAGAAATCACATGTTGCAATTTTATGTCCATTGTTGTCCAAGGAGTCAGACTAGCCAGTCACTTTTGGGGCTTAAAATCTACTGATCTTTGTCCACAATGGTGGGTTTAAAAAAAATTAAATTTATTGATTATTTTGCATTTACAAATGAGTGACATACTTATAGTCATGATATCTTTGAACTAGCAGAAAATACAAGCAAATATAAAGAGTGCAAAAACTCAGAATCTTGAGAAAGTTACAGTTTCTGTTCCATCTCACATAATCCTGACTCACTTTGAAATAATAAAATAATTAAATGAACAGCTATCAGAACTGACCTAAGCCAGCGTGGTACAAAAGCTAACAGTGAATACTTCACATATATAACTTCCTTTCAAAAAATAGGAAGGCAATTATTTTGCCTGATAGCCCAACAAAATATGAAAGAAAGAAAGACTGTCATCTGGAAATATAGTTAGTTTTTATAAAGTTAGTTATGTGTGACCTTGATTTCCCCCTGCCAATTTTTGTGGTTTACAATTTATAATTGCATTTTCCTGTGGTTTTAAAATGTCTTTGTTGCTGAGTGGAAAAACCCACACAAGCGATAAGGGAAAATGATTGATCGGGGAATCATTGAAATAATCTACACATGGTACTATCAAATCAAGCCAGCAAAAATATTTTTGTTTTTCTGATTCCTCAGTTACTTAGGTGTTACTTGTAACAACAGGTCTTAAATATTTTTCATAGAAAATGTGTTTTGTAAGTTGAAAGTAGTCTTTTTTAAAATGAAAATTAAGAGTTAATATTATGAACTCTGAAATGACCACAAGTCAGATTTTTCAGGCAATAAAATTCTCTCCATGGAAATGGAAAGTATCCATGTATCCCTCACTGAGGATGAACACTGAATTCCAAACAGGAAATGCAAACATAGGTCTTGTCTATACTATCTATTTTTTTTGCTTATTATTAATTATGACTCAAGATAACCAGAGTGTTTGCAGAAGTTCATGTGAATATTTCTCTAAATGCCAGTTAAAGGGTGCATTAGCCTTTACCAATCCTTAGCTACCTTGAGTCGATCGATAAGTCATTAACTCAACATTAACTTTGCCAGAACTAGTAGGCAAAAATACTTTACTTTTCATAGAAGTATTTCTCCAATGTAGCAAATCAGGAAAGGTGAAACTTCCCTAGTGTCCTCTTACCCCAGTGGTGCAGCTCAGACACCAAAGGACTTCTGGATAAGGGAAGGTCTGCTTCATTAATGTATGCAGGATTATACCTTGTTATTTTTGCCAAACCTTTGGCAGACGCTGCTTTTTGGAGTTAAAAGTACAGCTGCAGTTCTGCATAGTTTAAGCAGAAGTCTAGTCCAGTGAAGATATAAGGACCACATCCTACTCTGCCTACTGGGTGCCTAAGTGGACTTAAGTACCCAGATGTGATCCTGTTCCACCCTGCTTGAATCCCTGAACAAGCAGTAATTCAAAAGGAAGGCGAGTCCTCCTCCTCTTTGCTGTTTATTTGAGACTCTAGCTTTTAGACTAAGATGACTATGTGGTAGAAAAGTAGATATGTTAATAGATTTCCAGGGACTTGAACAGGGTGGAATTCAGTTGTACATAAGCGTCTAATGGGTGGAGTACACTCTGGCCCTAGCTGGAGTCTAGCTAGAACCAGCATGTATATTGCCTGATGCATTATACATGAGGAAACATCAACATCATAGGCTGCATTTCAGCAAGGTACTTAAACATCTGCCTTATATTAAGAACAGGAATAGTTGAAATAATGAGACCACCCATGTGCCTGAAGTTAGCTTAGGTACTTTGCTAAACTGAGGCTAGACACCTAGTTAACATTTTTTAAAACTTTAAATTGCTTTACTTAGGAAGAAATATTTGTCTAGGAAAATATTAATCTGCAGCATATTTACACATTTACTTCTGAATTTCCGTTTTGTTGTTGTTGCTTTTCATATGTGGTCCTGGTTATTGCAGCCTCGTGCCTGGGTAGGTATTAGGATTAGGAAAAGCAGCATGCTTCTTAATGGATATTCTCCACGAAGAGTTAAGGTACATTTCACCATTTTCCTTTAAATGAATGGAAGCTGTGAGAGTGGAGTCCTTGTCTGCTTAGAGGATCTTAACCAAAATATCTAGGTACTGCACAAGTCTGAAATGACCAAAAAACCTTTTAAATCTGACTTCAAGGCTGCTTTGTCATATTTTTCCTCCAGATTCTGTTTGTGGTAAAGTTTAACTCTCTCCTGATTTTCTTTTTTTCTGACAAAAAGAATAGAATCTGTTTGTCACAGATGCAATTTCCTTCAGAACCATGCACGTTTAGAGATCTGGATACCTTTTGTTAAGAAAGCAAAGATGGTGGGAATGAAAAGCAGAATCAAATATCACGTGGTTGTTCCTTGAGTGCAACAAATGGGCTCTGAGATCCAACATCCAAGGTGCTTGAGGTCTCTGAAATAGAAAATAACAGGTATTTGGGAAACTGATTTGTCTTACCTACTTAAGAGGAGCGGGGAAAGGAGGTGAGGAGGATAGGAAAGATTTTGTTACATTATATATTACCTGTTTAAGACTCTTTTTCTGTTCATATAAAACTTGACCACAAACATAAACACACTGTAAAAAAGGGGAAAAAACCAAAACAACCATACTTTGTACTGATTAGGTGGTTATAAACCAGTGCCTCCAAAAATCTTTACCTGTTGTTGAATAAATATGCCCAAAGGAAGAATGGACATTGCAACAATAGATACATTTGCTAAGTAGATTATCAGAGTTGAAGACTAGGTCAGCAACTATAAACCATGACTCTTCAGGATATTTGTTGTGTGTGCACATGTTTGTGTAATGCCCTTGCATTATTTAATCAAGCAATTTAAGGAGATTCTGGTTGTTTGTTAAATCTTAGGTGATATAACTATGATCTTTTTAATCCATGCGAGAACCATAGAAGGGTGTGATATCCACCTGACTTGGACATCTGTCAGTTCTTATTAAAGAAGTAATCTCCAGCTCTCTAAAAGAATACAATCAATGTCCAGATAAAATGCAACAAGAAATACCTTAGAGCTGGAAAACAATTGACAGACTAGCTTTAAGAACAGTAGGACAATGCAGCAAGTTGCTTGGGAAATTAGTGAAATCTCCCCATTGGAGATTTCCATGAAGGGCTCAGATAGGCACCTGCCTGGAATGGTCCTGTTTCTGGGCAGGGGGTTGATCTAACTGACCCCTCAAAGTCTCTTTCAATCTTATGATTCTATGACCTTATGAAATGACCTGAAATACTTTTATAGCACAATGTGAGACTATATAAGTATAAATATGCAGGACCACTATTTTTAAGAACTGTTGACCTGTTTTTAGGATAATGTATAAAAGCAGCCAAACTTTCCAGAGATCTGATCTGTTTGAAAGTAGTGGGAACAGTGAGATGTTGAGTATTTTTTAAAGTCATTCTACTTCAGTTAGCTGCCCAAAGCATAGCTGAATGCTTTGGAGAAGCTGGCATCAGTGGTAGAGACAGAACTTTTTTGATACTTTGAGAGAGAAACTGCCAGTTTCTACCTACAGAAAAAAATCTATTTACCTTTTTTAGTTTTGAAGGTTTTTTAAGAGATGGTCAAGAAACAGAAAGCATCTTCTCATTTCCATGCGAGCTGTTTCCCAGGAACAGCGGCTGTAGTTTTTCTCATTGAGGAAGTGGCTGATTCTTTGGAAATATTTCTTCACTTTCAGGATGTTCTGTAAAAGCCCATTTTTCCAGTTCCTTGTTGCCTGCTGCATCTCCCCACCAAAACATTTCTCCAGCTGCTCAATTTGCCAGTGCAGTCCATTTTGGAATTTCTCAATGCAACTTGGGTTCCAGGGACCTTGTGGAAGATTCTTGCTAAAAAGCTGGAAGATGTGGTGGAGGAGCTCATGGATTATCATCGGGGCATTCTCCTTCTTTCTGGTTATGAAAATCTCTCTGGGGATCCTGAAGTCTGTCCTGTCATTTAGACATGATAAAGGAAATTGTCCACCCATCCTGCACAGGAGGTGTAGGCTATGGTTCACTTTGATTTGCTGCAGTCTGGAGCAGTCTGGAGATGAGATTTTGGTGGAGGAGAAGGATTTGATGGAGAACACCAGCACAAGGCAAACATGCAGGAAACTTCTTTGAGATAAGGTGTTCATAATGATCAAGTAGGTAATCCTGATGTCTTTGTCTTTGGGAAGAAGCTGAAAACCCAGAGCTTGTGCGTCTTTTGCGGGCTCTTCCATTGCTCTGAATTTATTTCTTCAGTGTGAGCCATGTCCATTAGTCATGAATCCCTTTGAGGCTTTGTTTGTTTCACTTTCTGCTTAATGAATGAATGGTATGATACTTCTTTGTTTTCAAGATAATGATCAGCAGAAATATATTTGATAGAGAATGGTCTCTTCCTTATTGGAGTCTGGCCACAAACATGTCCCATCCTCTCCTTCACATGTCCCATCCTTTCTTATAAAACCTTAAGGCTTAGTTTATACTTAAAGGTTTTGCTGGCATCACTATGTGGATTAGGAGAGTGAAAAATGGTAGAAACCAAATTGGGAGTTGTTCTGGCAAAAACCTTAATGTAGATGAAGTTTACTAGTAAAACAGTAAAAGTTTTACTAGTAAAAGCTTGTTCCATTTGTAAACTTGTTTAAGCTACACCAGCCAAAGGATATGAGCTGTATCTCTAGTAGGTGGATTTGCTGGAATGGCAATATTGGCAGACTGATAAAAACAGACAAGCCTGAAGAGGAAAGGTTTTTGCCTTTTGTGTTGTGTTCCGGCCTTCAGAGGCTCTCTCTTCTGTTTTGCCCTCCCAACATATACTTAGCCCTGCTTCCAAACAGTAGTTAAATGTATTGTTGCTTTCTTCTCCTCTCCCTCTTCCCCCTCCCTCGCCCCGCCTGCACTGTACTTGCTTTCCTTTTGTGAGGCTAGTAGCAAAACTCCATTGACTTATACTGGAGCAGGACCAACCTATTGACAACTTTTGGACTGCTTAGGGAGGGATTTTAAATTGGTAGCTGAGAGCCGTTGTCCCAGTTTCCTTGAGTCTCACAATCTGGCTTCAATGACTGTTTGGGTTGGGATCCAGTTCCTCAGGGACTTAAAACACCTGAGGCTTTGGGGCATTCAGGAATGGTTGGATTGGATCCATAGATCTCACATTGTTTTACTTGGGATTTTTGAGAGTGGAAAGCTTTCACTTCCAGATGTGGCTGGTATTTTATATATATAGCGTCAGGCTGAACTCTGTTTTTTCCCAAGTATGTTTAAATGTCATGGATGAAATTAGGCAGACAAGGTTCCTTGAGTGAATCTGATATCTTTTATTAGACCAACCCAAATAGTTGGAGAATAGTTATTAAGCAAGCTTTCGGGTTCAAAAACCCTTCGTCAGGCTAAGGAAGTTTCAGCAGTTGGTGTGTGCTCTTCCTGGATGGAATTAGTATTTATTGATACAGAAATTCACTGGTCAGGTAGCTGAAACTTCAGTAGAATGTGAATGGTTAACCAGGTATGATCTTACAGCTTTTACTCTTCATGAGAAACAACTTTCATGAGAGATGCATTAAAAATTGAATTCAGTGGACAATGTGCTTCAGCCTGAGCTGCTATCATGATGATTTTATATGATGCTAGAGCTAGCTTTGTCAGAAGAAAACACGAAACGATATTGGAGTGAGACAATCTATCCTATTGTCATCTCATTATAAACTTGTGGTATCAGTTCAAACCAGCTGAGAGTCTGTCCTTTTCTTAGTTTGGGATGAATGGGTCAGTCTTTCAGGCTTGTTCCAGTGTGGAATGTAGTAGCACAGGTCACCTAGTAATTTGGCTTGAGACATTGTCCCAACTTTTAGTCAAGCACATTGAAAATACCACCAGTGGCAAGAGAGCTGCTTGGTTGGTTGGTTGGTGTGGGAGTTCTGTTCTCAAGCCAGGAGATGCTTTTGGTTGTCCTTGGGCCTCACAGCAGACCAGGTTGTGGTTGAACTTCCATCTCTGAAGCCTGTGGCCCCAGTAGCTTGTAAGACCTGAGACACCTGTTTGCAGCTTCATTTGCACTCTTTGTAGCACCTGTTTAAACGCTTGGAATCTTAGGAGAAAGATGAGGGAAACCAATTGTCTTGGCTGCTCAAGATGCTCTTAATGAGTAAAGCTCAAAGTTATGCCCTTTCTTTGGTACTTTCAGAGATGCTGAATAGGGCTGAGGAGAGTTGGTATCTTGGCTTGTCATTTCCAATGTGGCTCTGCACTGCTTACTCAGGAAAAAGTCCGAAAAATCTGAGCAAAACTTTCCTCTGAGTAAGGAGTGCAGGCCTGGACCCCAAGGATCTGATTTTCTTTAAAAATATTTTAGTCAGCATGCTGTTGATTGAATGACAAATGTTTCCTTGAACCATTTATTTCAAGGAATGTCTAAGCGTCTAGCATCGTTCTTAATTTTGTTCCTTAAAACTAATTTGCAACTGTAGCTATCTCTTAACACACTTTAATAAATATTCAAATATAGAAATTTGAGCATATTGTTTTTAAAAGGAAACAACTACATTTGAAAAACTACAGACTGTTTTGTAATAGCAGATTTTCAATAAAGAATGCAAAAGCACGACAAAATCAGAATAGCTAGCTGGTATTAACATTGCTGACTTCTTTCAACGTCTCTACATTTATTCAGAAGTGTATATGCATGTGTAACTTGTTGTGGTATCATTTAGCTTTCTATATGGGATCCAAGCAAGTCTTCCCAGTTATTGAACACAGTGGTGGGACAAAAACAGCTGCCTCCAGTTTCACCAGAATCGCTTTCACATTGCAGACCTAGCTCTAGGAAATGAGTTATGCAGCATCCAGCTTTCTGAAAGTCTTTTGCAGTTACTTTTTTAAAGTCTAGATTGTTGTATACATTTAATGAACCAAAATGTACCCATGAATACTTTTCATTTAATAGATTTTCACTTACTTGTTTTAAAAACTTTTCTTTTTTTGTATATAGACTGTAAATGCAAAATTGGATTTTAGTCATGAGTGAGATCATCTCTTTTCCTCAAGATGACTCTGTTAATCATATCTCATAGTTTTGCAAGACACAAGACATTATCAGCGAGCAAAAGAAGATACAGATGGGACAGCTACACAAAACAATGCAGTGTTGACTCAGTAATTTGCTTGTAGAATTGTGGAGTAAAAAAAAGATTACTGTCTAAAGAAGACAGAATTTCCCATTAGATTAAGAGTAAGATGGCTGTCATCTGTATTACTCAGGACAGACAGGGCTGCATGTTTTCTCATACTGTCCTGCCAGTGTACATCACACAGCTTCTGCCAAGACCACTTCCAGGAGCAAGGGCATACTTAACTCTGAGACTATCCGGTGCTTAGCTAGTTCTCCAGAATTTCCAAAAAGTGAGTCACACAGCTGGGTACCAATTTCAAGATGTTGGTGTTTGTCTGCTAGGATGTGAGATGAAATTGCCACTCGCTCACTCCATGATAACTGTTGAGCAGTCATCAGCAAGGTGTCATACAGATGTTATAGTAACTTTCAGTTGCTGTGCTGGGTCAAATTTGAGCTGACAGCTTAGTGGTTAATGGAAGCTCTGTAGCCCATTACCAATCCCTTTTCCCATCTGTTTCCTCCAGTAATGGATATCGTAACTAGTGCTAGTTGGTGTTCTTAGAACAGCAGGAGAAGATTTGCACAAAGATGCATCTTTTAAAGTAATTGTTATGGGTCACCTCACAGGCAGATAGTCCCTAAAGGCATTTTTAGCCATGTGCTAAATCTGTTCTCAAACTGAATGGCACGACTGAACTAAAATAACACTTTGGCACTGGAGGGTTCTCTCAGATGATAGGATGTAACGTTATTTTCACTGCTGTGTGTGATTTAAATTCTGTGATGAATCAAGTCATGAAACAAAGCTAAAGCCCTCTTATTGTTGCACTGGAAAAGGTATTTGCAATAACCATAAAAAGTGGATATCTTGGCAAAGATGGCAGAATAGAGAAGTAAGGTGTGTATACAGTGTGGAGATGCAAAGTGCTGCCACTGTGCATGTGGTGCGAGTCCTGGAAGCTCCTAGTCATGCATTAGCATGAAGGCGGCAGCTACAAGAAGGTTGTCTAGCACTTGGTCGAGGCAGGAGTGAGATTTGACAGCTGTAACTGTGACTGAGCAGCCCTCTTCAGGATCTACTGTGCTCTCCTCACAAAGGAAGAAGGTTAGAAAAGGTGCCCTAAACATAGTCTGTCTACCTTTTTCCTGACTGGATAACTGCGTCCAATGGGGTCACCTTTACTGTGGTCAGAATCCACAAAGACATAGTTGTGGGGCCTGGAACATCAGAGCCATCATGGACAATCTTAATAGTGAACACCCAGAGCGCACCACGCTGCAATCATGGCTCAAGAATTCAGGTGACACAGCATTGACATCGCTGCACTTAGTGGGACCCAGTGAGCAGGAGATGGGCAGCTCAAAGAACAAGGAGATGGCTATATCCTTTTCTGGAAGGATAAACAGGAAGGAGAAAACTGACTTCACGGAGTTGGCTTTGTCATTAAGAATGAACTTATAAACCAAATTAATGAGTTCCTTATTGGAATTAGTGAGTGCTTCATGACTTTGTCTCAAATTGGCACAGCTAATATGATACTGTTATCAGCAAAGATGCTTGACTCTTGATACCTCTGATGAAGCCAGGGAGGAATTCTATGCTAACCTTGACCAAGTCCTTTCTGACGTTCCAGAGGGAGACGGGCTTATTTTGCTTGTTTATTTCAATGCCTGATGGAAGAGACATTAACCTCTGGAACAGAACCCTCAGCAACGAAGGAGTGGGAAAGGTTTATTCCAGTGGCATCCTCCTCTTGACCAGATGCACAGAACATGGACTCATAGATTCATAGATTGTAAGACTGGAAGGGACCTTGGAAGATCATTGGGTCCAGTCCCCACCATCACCAACACCCTGTTCTGCCAGAAGAACAAGCAACGCCCACGATCTAAGCTTTGGCACTTGATTGACTATGTCATGGTTCATGATAGGGATTGGAACAATGTCTGCATTACTTGAGCTATGCTAAGATCTGATGATTGCTGGACTGATCCGCTTGGTTATGTCACTCAAACTGGCTCCCAAACAACAACTGCAGCAGATGTTATGCCAATGGAAGGTCCACAGACTCAAGGAACCAATCAAGTGAGACCTCATGCACCAGCAAATTAACAATAACT